GCTCGACAGTTGCTTTAAGCGGGCTGAATCTCTGCTGCCTTCCCCCATACCTGACTACCCAGCTCCTTCATTTCTGTTCCCTCTCTTGTGCTGGCACTCAGCACTCCGTACCCCTGTGGCAAGCCAGAACCAAATCAAGAAGTTAATCCAAGCTGAAACAGATCAGTATAATTTGTCAGGTCAATTTTCTGTTCCAGGCAACTGTTCGAAATCTTGACCTGACTTGGGGAAAAGTGGGCGAGAGGGCCACAGGACTCTTCTCCTCCTCTTTCTTCGTCTTTGCTCTGTAGTAGGTGAGAGCGTTGAAAGGCAGACAGAGGCTTTAAGGCCGAGTAGTAACAGTCCCCTAGAGGGTTGTCCTGAATAGCTGGGATTTCCTTGTCAGTTTTAGTGCTTTCACCTTTTCTTATATTCCGTTTGGAAGTGTGAGATAATGGGAACTCTGGTTGTTTCCCAAAAGGGATAGGCAGTGAAGCAATGTGTGACCCAAGTCAAAGTATATACTTTGTATATACTCAGTATATACTTAGTTCACCAGTGCAGTAGCAAGTCTGTGAAATGCAACAGTGAAGGCTGTGGTAACAGTAAGTTAATATCTGTGCTATGCTGGGTTGTGACTAATTAGTAAGGATGGCCTTTTGTAAATTAGATGCACCAGCAGGGATGAGTTTGGCCTACTTATGGTGAACAGATTTTTTTTTTTTTCTTTTAAACTGTAGAACAGTGTTGATATCTAGATATTTGTTAGGCTACATGGTAATAGCTCTCCAGCAGACTGTATGAATCTTCCCAATGAGTATTTTCTCCCAACTGTCTCTAGTGCAGGCTCTGGCCACGGCCCTGGGTGCACTGGTGGGCCCTCATGGCCCAGACGAGCCTCACCTGGAGCCCGCACCCACACCCCTTGCCCACAGGCTGAAGCCCCTGTCAACTGATCCAAATACAGAAGTGAGTTGGTCTTCAAGAGTTTTGGCCAGTGATCTGCAAATCTTTTTGCTCATACGCTGTGAATGGTAGAAGTTTTTTGAGCATGCATCTCCAATATATGTATATTTGTTTATAATTTATATGCATGTACTACTGAAGTTCTAATATTTTCTTCCTGCGCCTCAGTGGGGTGTATCGTACACACCCCACTTTAGAGACTACTGGTCTAGGCTACGTAACTCTAATCCTCTGATTCCACTTATTGTGCTGAGTTCTATATTTAAACTGTCTTGGCTTAATACGGTTTATACCCATTTCACACATCAGTAGTTGATTTGGCCCACTGTGTGTTAACAAGCAGTGAGGACAGAGTTTGTAAACTCGTGTATACAAAATCTGAAAAGAGAGTTGTCAAGGAAAAGCAGCAAACTTCTCTACCGTTTGTTCTCTAGAAAATGTGTTAGGAATTTTTCACAGGATAGACTCAAGTTTGTTATTAGTACGCTTTGATCTGATCATATATGTCAAAGTCGGGTTGCTGAAGTTACCCTCTTTTCTAAGTAGATCAACTGAGTAGTTGCTTATAGGCGTGCAATGACTCAGTGTAATTGTGCACTTCCTCTGTTGCTGGCAGGAAGTTAACAGAACACTAATCCTCACTGAAAATGTGCATCAGTTAAAGGGATTTAAACCTGTAGTTGCGTGGTTATATAGATCTTGGATACGTGTGGTGAAACAGGAACAGAATTTAGTCTAAACAGATGAGTTTGTGGCTTGGTTGTGATCTTGATTGTTCTTTCACACACCACATACCCCTAGGTGTGCTCTTAAACCCTCCATACCCCTACGTGTTTGTCCCGTGCAGCAGCATGTTAGTGCAGTGTTACCCAGACATGATTTGTGGGGATACTGCGATGGTAACGGTCTGTCTGTGCTTTATTTGCAGTTTTCAAGGTGTGGGAGCACATAGCCTGTTTAGGCTGCAAATGCTGATCTGAACAACTTCTGACTGCAGCAAGAGCTGTGTATGATAGGTGTGGTTGTGGCTCTGTGATCAGCTGTATAAAAACTTGGCAGAGGTTTTATAGGATTAGCTCTTTGATTACCCAGTATTAAACAAACAAACAGGAAAAAAAAGGGACATAATATTTCTTTTTCTGCTAGTGATGCCAAGAATGTTGTTAAAGCTTGTTAGGAAGATGTGCTTCTGGAGGGGACTGATTGTGATTCTTGTTTAGCAAAACCTTAGCTGCTTTCTTTGGGGTTTAATGTCTGTTGTAAACTGGTAGGAGTTTACAGTATGTTGGGTAGATTTTTCTTGTATTGTGCTTTAAAAAACAAACTATTTTTTCTAATAAAGTTAGCCATGTTCAGCTAAAGGACTGAATAGTGAAGAATATGTGTTGAAGAATACGTAAGAGTTTCTCTCATTAGTGTTTTCGTGCAGTGTGTTTTCTTTCTGATAATTATATGCAGGTTTTTAAGAATTCAGGGAACTTACCAAATTGGTCTGATTTGAGTAAGTAGTTTTAATACCTGTGGTAGTACTGATAAAATAAAGTTCTGTGTGGTCATTTTTCGTAATGTTGAATCTAATCACAGAGAATATTTGATTTGGTAAAACAAAGACATTTTATTTTATTTAAATAAGAATGTCAGTATTGCCATAGACACGTGGCATGGCATTTTCAAAAGTAGTCATGCAGTGTGAAAACAGGGATCATGCTGACTTTTGGTAAAGCTGAGTTTTACATTTGGTTAGCTAGCAGTCTTTGAAACCTTGCTTGAGAGATGGATATACTGTTTAGCTGGTAGAGGAAATAACAGCTCTGTGCGGTTAAAGTAGAATGCTAATCGCGTATTAATTTGTCCTTTCCAATGACTATTTACATTTAACTTTTGTGACATCATAAGATGTCATGTTATTTGCTTAGCATTAAATGGCAAGATCAGTCCTCATGCTGGTGGCTGTATGCAGCAGTGAGCAGGTGTAATACCGAATCATGGAAGAAACTGTGTTCCTTAAGATGTGTAATAGCCTCATGAATGCCGATTTCGACATTGTTTGAGGTAGTTCTCTGTATTTTTCTGTTCTCCCAGAGAGGTGATGCTGAGAGATCCTTATAGTGATGTCTGCTCTGGTTCTTCTTCACCCTTGCTGTAAGCTAAAACATTAGGAGATACAAGAAAAAAATCTAAATGAAGCTATCCAGTACAGAGGACGTATAGACTCTGCTAGTCTAAAGTGTAAACCAGTTTCAGAATCAGTGGAGTATGTAAGAATTTCAGGAAAGAGGATACAGAATCACAGGACAGCTGGGGTGGGAAAGGATGTCTGGAGATCACCCCATCCAGCGCCCAGCTTGCAGCAGGCTCAGCCCGAGCAGGCTGCTCAGGGCTGTGTCTGGCTGGATTCTGGATATCTCTAAGGACTGAGACTCCATAACCTTGCTGGAAACCTGTGCTGGTATTTTACTACCCTCAGAGGTAAAAAAAATAAGTTCTTATGTTTAGATAGATCTGTTCTCTTTTATTTTGATTTGTGTCTCATGCCTCTTGTTCAGATGGCTGAGAGGGGATCTTATTAACGTATATAAATACATGAGGGGTGGGTGTCAAGAGGAACAAGACAATCTCTTCTCAGTGGTGCCCAGCAATAGAACAAGGACTAATGGGTTTAAGTTAGAACACAGGAAGTTCCACCTCAACATGAGGAGAAACTTCTTTCCTGTGAGGGTGACAGAGCACTGGCACAGGCTGCCCAGAGAGGTCAAAACCCACCTGGATGAGTTCCTGTGTTTATGTTTGGCAGGATGAGAGAGAGCAAAATGAATTAAAGCCAAAATTGTATTAATGAATTGGAGAGTGATAGCAGACCTTTTTAAGGGAATTTGAGAAAAAACAAGCATGGAATGCACAGTGATCACTTTGATGTGATTAGAAGATACTGTCAAGATGAGACTGGGTAACTAAGCGGAAGCCAGGGAACAAAGAGGTTTAGGAAATGCTAGCATCAGTTGATAATTGAAAGGTGGATTTAATGTTACCCTGTACTTCTTCTTTATAGAGAGAATAAGGGAGGATAAAGTGGTCCCGAGAGTTACTGACAGAGGAAGGGAAGAAGATTCAGTCTGAGGTGACATTCTGAGAGTTACAGTGAACAGGAGAACCAGGGTATGCAAACAGAAGCTTTGACAGAACGGGAGAGAGTGATGGAATGTGTTTGGTACAGGCAGCACCTGACCGAGTAGGCAATATCTAAGTGTGTTGGTTTTTATGGTACTGTGAGGCCAAAAATGCTCTGCACCCAGTGAATGGATGCTTACATTCAGCATGGCTGATGCACATGAATTCCCAACCCATTGTTAAAAGGATTGTCAGGACTCTACTATTAATCACAGGTTTTTTCAGTACACTTTTGGGTATTCTTGAGGAGAAAACAGAAGTGGCCATATTGTCACTAGCAATAGCTGAGAAAGGTGTGCTAGAAAATAGTATTCTTTTTAGTGCTTTGAAATACCTTATATAGTTTTAGTTCTAGCCTGTAACAGTGCTGTCAGATACTGACGTAAATTTGGTTACTTTTTTGGTTCATCAGTATTAGAGCCACTAATTTCTAACAATCCTGTAGATTCTGTAGGTTATTCACTTATTTGGGTTAGCTGGGAGTAAATTACAACAGAAGCATTTTAATTGGGGACTTGAGATTGCGTTCAGTGTTTTTGCATTTAGGTTTTTTACTACTTTTTTAAATTATAGATGTTCTGTTTAATCAGTTCCGTTAATCATTTGTCTTTCACCGATATAAAATTCTAAAAAACAAATAATCAAACCTAAGTGGTAAAACATTGCATGGGATTTTATTGATCATTACATGTGAAGGGAATTTGATTTAGAGATAAACTAGTGGACCTCTGGAGAAGGTGCAGGTTTATTTAAGAACTATGCCGATAGTAGACATTGTCAGCTTCATAAATTGTTGAAGAAATATCGTTGAAATAGTATAAATTGGTTTTATTGTTGAAAACAATACATAGCAAATATTCATCTTCTCCCTTTTTGTTCTAGTTGTCATGGATGATGACGATGATGAATCCTGTCTCCTTGATCTTATTGGGTAAGTTTTCCTTAAGCAATTTTTTTACAAAAGTTGGAAAAATCTAATTTTTCCAAAAGATCTTCTAGAAGGTGATTCTGTCGCAGTATTGTCTCAAGGCTGAATGACTTGCAATTTAAATCGATTGGTATCAATGTGTATCACAAAGCCTTCAGTCCCAGTGTACGCTTGCTGACAGTCCACTTGCTGACCTTCTCAAGAGAGGCTAAAGAATGAGTGTGCGTGCACGTTGGATTCTCCTCTCAGCCAGTGGCAATATCAAGTTGAGGTTGAAGCACGTTACTAGGGATGTTGTTACAAAACAAAGAACATTGGGTTAAAAATCCCAAGGATCTCAATTTTTGAGTAGTGGAACTAGATACTTCGTTAACACTATGCTCCTATTTTAAAGGGAAGTGTACAATTAATATTTTCTTAATTGTAAATATGCAATTTCTACTACTAACATGCATTTGTGTAAAAGTGTTAGAAAAATAGAATTGTTACCCTGTACTTCTAAGTATTCACAACAATCAGGAATTTATCAGCATTTTGCTCAAAGATGCTTGATTTTAATAAAATGATCTGGTTTTGTTGTTGTTGTTTTGTTGGTTTGGGGAATTTTTGCATTATTTCTATAGCAGATTATTTGAAGGTTTACAATTTCCTGTGAGAATCTCAAAAAATAATTAGGATAGCAGAAGCATAAGTAAAGTTTTCCTGGATTGTATATGACAAGTGACTCAGACATGACACTTCGTTCGAACTCAGCCAGAATTTAGAATGTCATCAGTCTTGTAGCAGTTTCTAGAGATTGCCTCCGCTTTATACAAGAATTTTTTTACTGTCTTAAATGTAGTAAATAAATAGGCCTTTTGCCTTTCTCCTTCCCTCAGAGCTTTCAGTGAGAGCATTAACTTCAGAAAAAACCAGACTGTCACCATAGTGACTGCTGTGACCTGGGGGGGTTGCTCTGTGGTTGCTGTAGCAAAAGCGTTGTCAGTGATGGCCCCCAGTTAGAGCTGGTGAAGTCGGCTGTGCGAGGTTACTGACTGTAGCCTTATGAAAACACATCCTGCTTGGAAGATGATAATTGACTGCATGAGAGAATTAAGTGCTCCGTCATGAGCATGAATCCCAGGGATCCTGGTACAGGTTCACAGGTGGTCCAGAAAATCGAGTGCCCTCTGTACAGATGAGTGTTTGTGTGAAAAATTACCGTGTTCTTCCCTGCTGCTGGCAGCAATTACTGTCTTAAACATTTACAAGAATGAAGAACAACACTTTTTTTTCTATCTGATCTTTGATTTCGGTAAGTGCCTTCTAAAATGCCTTCCTTACTTAAGACAATATGTAAGTGATGAAGTGAGTATAATTAGTACTAAGTGGCCTGGTTATTTTATCAACAAAATTCATAAGCGTGGTAGAGCCCTATATGAGATTGAGTTCTGTTCTCCTTAATTCTTGAAATCCAGTGAAAATGACATTTTCATTTGAAGATAGATGTAACCACTTCTGCGTTGTAGGAATAACTGTACCATAAAGTCCCTGCCCCAAGTACGGTCTGTTTAACACTTCTTTCGTAAACACTTGAATTTAGTTTGTTTTTTAAATGAAAAAAGGAGAGGAATAGGGGTGTGTTTTTTAGGAGAGCAGTTGTAAAGCTGAAAGATCTTTTAACTTGTTCATTCTTTGTTTTCTAGGATGATCAAGAGGGGAGTAGAGTTATTTTGAATTAGTATTTTTTTTTACATGAGAATCTCCTGCTTCTCAAAAATTTTTTATTATTACTTGTTAATCAATAAAGATGTTTTAAAATCAAAAAACTCCATGTCATTTTTCTTCTTCTCATGCTAATGGACATGTTGGGAAGTGCTGTATAACTGTTTCATTAAAATAATCACATGTAACATAACCTTTTAATATTTTTTACTTGGTCTGTGTGTGTAGTTACATTAACGTATTTTTGATTTGTTTAAATTTCCAACGCTTATTCTATCAAACCACATTTTTAATCTGAGTTTTATTTAGTGATAGTGCTCAATTAATGAATTACACTGAAGCAGCATTTCATAATATTTAGTAAGCTTTTGCTGTCGTTGATTTCAGTTGGAAAAGGTGCCATTTTTTCTCCAAGTGAAGGAACTGTTACTCTGGCAAGCTTAAATTTTTGTTGACTTACCTTAGAGGTGGCAGAAAACTTGTTACAGGTTCAGGTTTGTAAATACTCTGTTGACTTGGACAGTGGCTAAACAGACATTGTAATTCATCTCTGTAGAAGAGATGGGACTTGTCATAAAATACCGAGTGTCTGAAGAGAGTATGAGTAATGCCCTCATAAAGGGAAGTAAAGTAGAATGCAACTGAAATTTTGTGATGAACAGTTTATTGTTTCAAATGTCTTGGTACGATGACAGCAAATACGATCCACATTGATAATGATGATCATACAGAAACACAGATCCTGAGATGGTATAAACTTTCAGCTCTGCATTGGAGTCAGTGAAAGAAATGTGATTTTACTATGAACCTGATTACTATGAATGCAGTATCTGGCTTAGTTAAATTAGCATATTTAGTAGAACGAGCTTACTAAAAGTGGTAACTTTTTTTTTTTCCCCTTAAGGGACCCACAGGCGCTGAATTACTTTCTACACGGACCTAGTAGTAAATCTGTAAGTAGCATTCTTGTGTATTAGACATACATAAGCTTCATTGAGTGTATTACTTCTGAACGTAATTTTTGTCTTTTACCAGAGCAATGAAGACTTGACCAATGCAGAATATTCTGTAGCCAACTCAAATTCAATTTTCGCCAACTCCAATGTAAGTGGTGAGGAGATAAATTACATTTATATTGAGATTGCATGCTTCTGTTACGGCTTTTCTTGACTTTTATTAAACCGAATGAAGTAGATGTGGATTTTGACCTTTAATTTGAAAGTTCTGAATGCTAACATAAAACTACCTCATGTTGTTAATATTTTAAGTATTTCCTTGGGTTTTTATCGGGAAATTACTCAAAACATAGTGCGTTGCTGGGATGTGTTTTGTAAATAGGTAAAGGAGCTTGCTGAGTAGTGCTCGGTGTAACTCTCTCCAGTAAACTGGACTTTAATTTTAGCGATTGTAGATGTAGTATTGCTCAAATGTATACATTTCCTGTGTTTATTAGGATGCTTTTGTTTCTTAATTCTGAGTAGAATCTGAGCGAGCAATTTTTTTAAATTAATGAATGAGGCTTTTGTTCTTTAGACTGAATAGCTGGCTTGGGATGTTTCCCTCCTGTAACTTCAGTGTAAGGAAGTCACTTTAAATTCATGTGATCATGCAAGTAGTCTTCAGTATTCTTTTTTTTGCCAGGAGTGTATTGTAGCCCTGAATCAGGTTTTATCCAGTGAGGTTGTGGAATCCCCATCCTTGGAGGTAATGCCAAGGCTGATCAGCTTTAGTGCTGGCAATAGTCCTGCTTTAAGTAGAAGGTTGGAATAGATGACTTTGGAGATCCCTTCTGACTCACATTTCTTTGATTTCATTGGTGTGTGGATTTTGTTCTTTTAAAAATTAATTCTTCACCCCATGGTTCAGTTATTTTAATAAATAGAGTAACATTTCCTTGGTAATTTGATTTCTGTTGTACTGTTACCCTGACTCTGTCTGTCTCCTATTCCTAGCAGATATGTGGATGTACTTGTAGGTCTGTAGGGACCTCGAAGAACTAGTGACTTTTCTATAACCACAGTAGGGTGATGTGAAGTGTTTGCCCTGTCCTTTCCCTTTTGGTGTCATTACTAAACATTTTAGAAAAAACGTTGAGTGAGTTCTTTATCCAGATGTGCTGATTGAGATAATGGTGGGGGAATGGGGTAATAGGATCTGTCCAATTTTCAGCTAATTGGGAACAGTGGTTTCAACTTGGTGCTTTCTGTATGCAGCATGGCAGAGGTGGGTTTTGAGGACTCATCTTAAAAAAAGGAGGTTATGGCAGAAAAAGGGTGACATGGCATACATTGTCATAGCCTGGACTTCCTAGTTGCTCTTTGTAGAGATTCTTCCGCTAAGCATGAGTAGGTGAGCAGGAGTCAGGGGTGTATTCTGATGTATTTTCAGAAAGTGAGGTTTTTGAGTAATTTTGATAGGGATTGGGAGATTCTGAAAGTTTTTGCAGATGCTGAGAGTTCTATCTTTGTATGTGTTCAGAATTGCTACCATGGAGTAGGATTGACTGTCTTGATGCCCGTCTCAGTGGCAGAGTTTACAAATTCGGTGTCAAGGGTTCAGTGCCTCCGCTGGTAAGCATGTTCAGCCAACACCTAACACAAACAATCTGACTGAAGGATGAGAAAAAAAATGTTCACTCTTAACTCCTCCCCTCTTCGAGCTGAATGATTGCCTGCCCCCTCTACTGATTCCAGCTTGTTTTCCTTCAGTGATTGTCAATCTATGTCATAAACCCTCATGAGAGGGTTCCTTAACCATTGTACTATTACTTGAGATGTACTTGGTAACTTCTTCCACCTTCTTGGTACAGCATAGTAGAACAGCTTAAGAGAGCAGAATATTCAAGGAGCTGGTGAGAATAAGACTTCTGTAGCTAAGCAGATTTGTAAAGTTGCAGAGGAACTGGTTTCTTCTTGAAATTAGCATGGTGTTCTGCATGATTGTTCTGAATCTGGGCAGCAATGATTTGGATGTTAACTTGGAAGGTCCGTGGTTCCGGATTGTGCACATAAAATTGTTTTTTGGTGTTAAACAGTCCTGGGAGCAGGGAATGAAACTTTGTTCTAGTGGGAGACTTTCAAGCTACCGATCTTGATTGCACGTAATATTATTTATCATTACTATTGCTATTTGTTGTATTGTTAGTACAAACTGGAATAGCATTAACCGAAGCCCTTTTAACTTACACAGTTGTGAAAGATTTCAGATCAGTCATTGTCACTGGAGACAAATTGCAGGTGCAATAGGGAATTCTCCACAAGAACTTGACAGTTACGAGTCCTAATGATGTCCTAGTTAGTGACTCCTTTTTGCTCTGCCTGCTGGTAGTTAGGTACAGTTGAGAAACTGATTTGTAATTTTAGGTGTTCATGTGGTGCAAACATTGAAACATTTAAGTACTAGCTTAATTCCTACTGTTAAAACAAATGTAAAAAAGCTTACTGTTATTTTATAATTGTGTTTTGAAAATAGTTTATTGATTTTTAAGAAAATTCTTCTATTTTAAAATCTGACTGAAGTTTCATAAAAGGCACATGCTGATTCAGAAACAGCTTGGGGTAAAATTCTGAGGAAATACGCTTGGGGAACTGAAGTTAGAATGGGTTAGTTACTATATGTGATAATTATGGCTTGCGGCATCTTCACACCATTTATATGAGGTGAAGGCAAGTGTCTGTGACCTCCAAGGAGTGAGAGCTCAGAATATGAATGTCACTCATAATTTCACACCCACATTTTGCATTTATCCTGACCTAAAAAGAAGCCAGATGTTGATTTTGAATAGTTAAGATTATGATACTGCCATTTAGAAAGGTCTGCTCTGTCTTAACTGTACAAACCTGATACCTAAGTTGTCTGCAATTTCTGTACAGGATTTTGTTTTGGGCAAATCTTACTGACAGCCAGAGTAAAGTAGGATTTGAATTTCCTTATCACAGTATTCATTGATGTAGATTTGAAGGACTTTTTATTATTTGAAGGATTTTTAAAAATTTTCTGTAGTTTCAGTGTGTGTAGTTCTCCGTAATAATCTTACTAGCATAAACCACAAAGCATTGGTTTTCTTACTGCTTTGTTCCTGAAATTTTTCTAAACAAAGAATTTACATAATTCCTTACGAAACAGTCCATAGGTTTGCATTGTGTAGATTTTGGAAACAGATCTTATTTGATAGAGGAAATCAGTGAAAGAGCAGCTTTCTACTGCCTTTTCCCTGCTTCAAGTTGAGTTACAGTGGAGGTCTTTTCACTCCTCCTTTCTCGTATTCTTTTGTCCATAGAGTGCTCAGCTTGAGGAAGGGAAAATGGTACTTCAGGAGTGTGTCATATCCTCTTGAAATGGTGCAGCTGCAGAGCTGAGTGCTGGGGAATTGGGAGATTGGAGAAGGGAGAGAAGAGTAGTGTCTGCAGCAGTTTGGGCTGAGGGTGTGAGTGGGATGGGAGCGATGCACGTGTTTCTGCTGGCCCACCCTATGGGATCAACGTCACCTTACGTACGTACATACTGTGCGAAGATTATGGTTTTGTAAAGGAAGTTTGCTTGCACGAACAAAAGCTTTATTGGCAAATGAGGCGGAGCTTGAAGTTTCTGAAGCTTACTTATTTCTTCTTTTTCGTTTCAGAACACTGATCCTAAGTCGTCTGTAAAAGGTGTAAGTGGCCAGCTTGGAGAGGGGCCTAGTGATGGACTGCAGCTGTCCAGTAGCCTTCAGTTTCTTGAAGATGAACTTGTGTCTTCTCCCTTACCTGATCTTACTGAGGATCAGCCTTTTGATATTCTTCAGAAGTCCTTGCAGGAGGCCAATATTACTGAACAGACTTTGGCAGAAGAGGCATATTTGGATGCCAGTGTAGGTTCTAGCCAACAGTTTGCACAAGCTCAGCTTCATCCTTCTTCATCAGCATCCTTTACTCAGGCTTCTAATGTTTCTAATTACTCAGGTCAGACGTTGCAACCTATAGGAGTTACTCAAGTGGTACAGCAACCTGTTGGAGCATCTTTTGCAAGCAATACGGTCGGTGTGCAACATGGCTTTATGCAACATGTCGGAATTAGTGTTCCCAGCCAGCATTTGTCTAATAGCAGCCAGATCAGTGGTTCCGGGCAGATCCAGCTAATTGGTTCATTTAGTAATCAACCTTCCATGATGACCATTAATAACCTTGATGGATCTCAGATAATTCTGAAAGGCAATGGTCAACAAACACCTGCAAACATGAGTAGTAGCCTCTTGGTTCATAGACAAACTCCAAATGGTAACTCACTATTTGGTAACTCAAATTCAAGTCCAGTAGCACAACCCGTAACCGTTCCATTTAACAGCACAAATTTTCAGACATCGTTGCCTGTCCATAATATCATCATTCAGAGGGGTTTGGCACCAAACTCTAACAAAGTTCCCATTAATATCCAACCAAAGCCTGTCCAGATGGGTCAGCAGACTGCTTACAACATGAATAACTTGGGAATACAGCAGCATCACGTACAGCAAGGGATTCCGTTTGCTTCTGCAAACTCGCCTCAGAGTTCGGTAGTGGGTCCTCATATGTCTGTGAATATTGTTAATCAACAAAATACAAGAAAATCGGTTACCCCTCAGGCCGTTAGCAACGCTGGAGGTAGTATTGTTATCCATTCTCCTATGGGACAGCCTCATGCACCTCAGAACCAGTTTCTCATACCTACAAGTTTAGCTGTTAATTCTAATTCAGTTCATCATGTCCAGGCCATAAATGGACAGCTTCTTCAGACTCAGCCTTCCCAGCTGGTTCCCGGCCAAGTGTCTGCCGAGCATGTAATGCTCAATAGGAACTCTACAAACATGCTAAGAGCCAACCAGTCCTATTCTGGACAGATGCTGAATAATCAGAACACAGCTGTTCAGCTTGTTTCCAGCCAGACGTTCACAGCTTCTGGAAACCAAGTTATAGTAAATCATGGAGCTTCACAGATCGTTGGTGGACAGGTGCCGCTGCAGCAGGCGTCACCGACAGTGTTGCATTTGTCACCGAATCAAGCTAATGTTTCTCAAGGCAGATCGAGTTTTACTACGATGTCACCTGGGCAGTCTACAGCCGCCAGTATGTCAGCTTCTAATCGATTTGCTGTTGCAAGTTCTTCTGGTTCGGTACATCCGAGCTTGGGACCATCAGTTCAGTCTGTCGCGTCAGGTGGAAGCTTTACGGGAGATCAGCTCACACAGAACAGAACTCAAGTTCCCATCAGTGCGTCCCAGCATCGTCTTCCCGCATCCTCTTCCAAATCTGTCAGCACCTTTAGTCACACTTCAATTGGAGTAACGCAACAGCAGTTTGCCTTTGGTCAGGTAGGAAAGCTGCTTGAGAATGTAGCCAAGGAAATGCTTCTAAGCTGTGCTAAACTCTAGTGAACAAACTATTAAAGTTGATGTTAATACAAAGAACGTTAATTTTGCTAGTTTATGTTGTAACAAATATTGTGGAACTGCTGAAAATTACTGTAACCCAGAGACGTTTCTTCACTCGCTATTTTCTAAAGTCTTATCGCTGGGTGAATGAGACTGTCACTTTCAGAAGATTTGGTTTATAGTAATAGTTTCAGAACTGCTTAGTACTGATATTTCTGTGCATGTTTATAAGAATGGACATCGTATGATTATACAACTGTAAGCTCTCCTGAAAATCTTACTGTAGAACTAGGTGTAAAAGCTTGGGTGTACTCTTAGCACTTAGAAGTCTTTTGACCTCACTAAAAACTTTGCATGTGTTTTCAGGGTTTGACGTAGTCGTATTAAGAGATTAAAAGGTTTTTTTGGTTCCTCACTGTTATTTACCATGCATTTTCCCCACTGTAGTTCTGTGTGCCTGGAGCAGTTAGAATCTTTCAGATTTGAAGCAAAGGCAAGGCAAGAGGCATTTCTTAGAATCCTTAATAGGAAATAACTTCTAAGGGAGTTTGTAAAAGCACAACATATAAAAAAAAGTTCTCAAAGAGACTCACCTAGTAATAATTAATAAAATAATTCGGAATTTGCTTTTAATGGGAGAACTGTACTACTTTGTTCAGCTGATACAGCTGCAGTATGTACTCAGCTCAAGTTTGTCTTTTTCCATAAATGAGCTTTCAGACTGCCAGTGACTTGTCACATGATTAGCAACAAGCTATTATTCTGCTTCTGCCCTTTTTTTAACTTCTGTTATTTTTTCCTTGTTCATTATATAATACATATATAATAACTATCTTAGAATACATTTGCACTAACTATCTTAGATCTTTCTCTTTTCCTAAAGGTCTAGTGGATTTCTTTTTTTTTACTCAGTACCAAAATGGGCAATGAAATAATGTGCCTTAGAAAATAATGTGTATTTAGAAAATAAGGACGAATATGGTGTAGAACCATTCAGTCTTGCGAGCACAGGTTGTAACGGTTTGTTTGCAAATGAGTAATGTGAGATGCGCCTGTCTTTCTTCTTCATGTTCTCTTCCTGTTTTGTAGTAGTACACGTGATTTTCAGCAGTTCAGTGATTTTCAGCAGTTACAAAAGCGTATTTCTTACTGACATAAGAAGTCATTTTATTTCTGTGCTGAGATTTCAGAGCTGAAAATGGAAACTACAGAGAACAAATTATACTGTTTATCAGAATCATTTTAGTTTGTTTGTACTTGTATTTTGAACAGTGCACTGTATCCTAAGTTGTATATTATTTAGTCACTAAATCACTTGTCAGTTTGTTCCATGGTGAGGTTTTTTGTTGTAGAGACAGCTCATTTAGTCATCTTGCAGTTTTAAAACTCTGAAAAGCTGAGATTTCTGAGGGCCATTGTAGTGGTAAATCATGAGTCTTCTGGAATGTAACTGGTATATATTTGTACTGTTAGTGTAATTTCTGTTCCTCTTTGATTTACTTTCTAAAATTCTTGAACTGAGAGGATTGAGATGTCTGAAACTTCACCACTTAAGAGTTTGAGTTTGAAAAGGGATGTATAGAGCTGAATTTTAGTTGCTTTTTTCTTTTTTCCTCTGCTTGTTAAAGCTTTCAGTTAATATTTGACTGTGGGATTTTTTTGTGTTTTTTTTTTAATGTATGTAACACAGAAAAAAGCTATGAATCAGACATCACCAGTTTCTGCATTGAAGACACAGGATAATTTGAGACAACCTCAGCTAACAAGTCTTCTGAGCAACACACTATCAGGTCAACTAAGGTCTTTTTAAAATAATTTTCTTAATTTTCTCCAGCAACTGAAACTGTTTCTTCAGTGTGTCAGACTTACATTGATGGCTCTTTACAATAGGACCTAAAAGGTTATCAGAATTCTATTTTTTAGAAGAACACAAACTAAATTTTTCAATATCCAATGTGTGGTTTTATTTTTCTCGACCATGCCACTTCATGGACAAAAATTTGAATATCCACAAAAAGCAATTTTTTCCTCCTCTGTAAAATCCAAAATTGTACCTACTTTCATTTTTTATAGTTTTTTTTCGGCTTAGGAAAATAAAAATAACTAATTTTCAAAGTACCAACATCTGCTAAAAATTCTATGAAATTTCTAGACCCTCTCTTGTAATGGCTGCTTCAGATACAGAGGAAAGAAAAATAGCGATTACACTCCGTATGTTTTTGAATGTGTCACTTTCAGTTAGAATAGTTAATGCATTATTCATGGCAAAATAATGGGCTTTTCAAGCAGCACCATGCTACTAGAAGAACACTCAATATATTCAAAGCAAACATAAAAATTCAGTAACTTTCCTGTTCTCTTTGTACAAAAGTAATCCCTTTGAGTAAGGTCCTATAATCTACCTGATTTTTTTTTCCCCCTTTGTGTGCTGTTACGTGTAAGCTGTCCAGACAGTTTTCTACAATCAGCACATTATAGTTTTTTTTTGTTTTAAAATAAATCACAGTTTGTGTTGTTTGTAATGTAGCATGGCTGATAAGGTGCTGTTTGAATTCCTGAGCAAGGCAATTAGAAGAAGCCTGCCCATCTAGAAAATCTAGCTCAAAAGAAATTGTGATGCCTGCTGTCTAAACACCTTAAGGAGGGGGTTAGAAATTGGGTTTATGCGCTTGAGGGAGGGTTAGTGTTGAAAAGCTTGCTAAAATGTGCTGTTAAGGTTTTCAGGCTGGTACTTGAATTTCTTACATTCCAGTACTGTGGTAGGAGATGATTTATATCTGAGGATTTTTGTAATTTGCAGCACAAAATATCAGTCTGTTTCATTTTTATGAACCAATTTCTTGACAGGGTAGTTGCACTAATGCTTCTAAGCTATTAGACATGTATCTTTCTCCTAAAAACTAAAAAAGAAACAAGTAAAATGATCAGGATAGGTACATGAAATTATTCTGTCCTTCTTTAGGATGACAGAGTCGTTTTAACACTTCTTTTATAGGTCAGGACTCTGGAGGAAAAATCATACAGCAATCTCTAGGAACAGCACAACCACAAGAAAAGGTTGTAGGATCATCATCAGTTCAACAGAATATACAGGTAGAGAAAACTTCTATTTATGTTTCTGTTTCCCTTAAAATTTTAGTGATGTTCGGCAAGTTTCGGCTCCATATTGATAATCTCAGAGTCCTTGCATGTTTTGTCAGAGTATGTGAAGTCAGTCAAGCTAGTGAAATACCACCTTGACATGATAAACGTTGAGTGTTTTGCAGATTGATAACTCTGAACAATGCTTTGAGATTTAATTCAGTAAGGGGAGTCTGACTGTTCTGTCTCCTGAAGATAATTTCATATGACGTAGCAATTCTTCATTGAGTTGGACATAAGTTAGGCCTACTCTTACCATTAGTTCTTAGAAATCAAGCTGTTCTCTAGCTAATTGGGAGGGGATGGCTTGTGAGAAGTAGCAGAAAAATCCCATCTGGTCTTTGTTTTACTCTCCTCTGCGTTGTCTTCCCTCGGTTTTTTTTGGTGGTGTTTTTTTTATTGCCAAACGTTCTCCTATGTGTGGCATCTATGTACAAAAATTTAACGCTACATACAGAGTTTGGGCTGGAAGGGGAGGCCAGCTTTTTGGAGAGGGAATACGAGAGCTTCTGGAGGGAGGAGACGATTGTTACATTCATGGACTGAGTAGCTGAGGGTAGGAAGCAAGGATTTGGTGTACGCCTGAAAGTGTGGGCTTTGTTGTGGATGGAATTAAACCACGACATCACGGAGAAGAGCAAGTGAGGATCCGTTCTGGAATTTTCATTTCTTGCTGTAAATGTATGTGTCAGTGTAGTATGACAGGATTGTCTTTCCCTGTCTTACTGATGTGCAGGTAGAGCAGAAGATAATTCAGTGGTGCTCAGTTATGAGTCCAGCCTGGTTTTGTAATTGTTGGTCAGATGTTTATTTTTCTGTGGTGGTGAATACTTTTTATGGTCTGAAGGTGGAGGCTTTTTGGCCAGTAAGTACCGTTACAGTGTGTCTATGTTATGCTGCTCCTATGTTGCTAAGAAAGATGCTCGGTACCATGTGGGTTTTTCGTTCTTTCAAACCGTGCTGTAGTTCAGAAGAGCTTTCATGCAATGTTTTTCTAAATCATAAATGACTTCTGCTCTGGGAGCAATTCCATGGGTAAGACTAGTTCACTCAAAAAAACCCAGCAGCTTTGTCTTAAACAAAGACTCTTTGATGCAGGATGGCTTCTTTAGGAGAATACTTGGATTGCAGTAATGCCACTCATGCTCTAGGAACATGAGCCTTTATCACCTCAGAGAGCCTTACACTTAGGACAGTGTTCCTTGAAAAAGCTTGCCTTAAGGAAAGGAGGTGATGTAGGTTTTCCTGATAGATATATCTGTAGGTTCGACACTGAAACAGAATTCCTAGAACCACTTTCACCACCTACCCATCCACTGTGGCTTTTCAGAATTTTAAGTACAAAGCCTTCAGGTGCTTTCCTGGCAGATGCTTTAATTCATCAAAATCAGGCAAGATGACATCAGCTGAGAAATGCAGAGACAGTTCTTGACTGCACATTTCTTGGGAAAAGTTTTTAGTTATACCTTCTTTGCACCTGCTAAATTTGATCACCAATCTTTTTCCTAGTGAAGAATGTATATGCAGTACGTTTGCCTACAAACAGCATTTCAGACCTTTCATTTGTGTAAGAGAAGCGACTTCCGTGTTTCATTGATAGAGCATCCTGTGAAAATAGGAGATTGTTGAAAGTGTTTCTGTGGTGGTTACACTTACTATTGGGGATACAGTTGATTGGCAGAAATAAATACTGAAGCTTAGGCTTTGCAAAGAAGTGGATATATTATAATTTTTCTTCTTTTTTTAACTTAGGTGGATGGTCATTTAGTCGGACAGAAAAGGCCAGCTGCTAAACAGTTAACTAAAGGAGCTTTGTAAGTCATTCTTCTGTAATTTTGGTGCAGATTTTTCCTCTTACCTTCATTTCTTTGTTTTTGTCAATGTGTAAACTTCTGTTAGAGTATGTGTTAATTATATATCATTCATTTTCTTTGTAGTATTCTACAGCAATTACAGAAGGATCAAGTGCATGCTGTGACACCAGATAAAAGTCGGTTTAGATCATTAAATGATGCAGTTCAGAGACTCCTTTCATACCATGTATGCCAGGGATCACTGCCAACAGAGGAGGACTTAAGGAAAGGTAATTTGCTTTTTGAAAATTGACAGTAACTTTGTAACCAATATATTGAGAGAATTCTTTATGTAAGTTAGAGCAATAAGAAAGGAAATAGTTTAAATTTTGTGCAAGTTAATCAAGGACAGTATTTGAAAGTATACTCTTGTCTTTCTAGTGGACAGCGAGTTTGAATCTGTAGCTGCACAGCTTCTGAAGAGGACACAGGCTATGCTGAACAAATACAGATGTTTGCTTATAGAAGATGCAATGGTAAGATGTATAACCCAGATGCATTTTATGTTTCTAGGACGTGGTTCAGTTTGCTAAAAAAAATATATTTACAGGAGGGTGAGAACTAACAGTAGAATTCATTTTGTTGATACTACTTACCACCTTATGAGGGTGATTAATATATACATGAAGGTTTTACAGTTACATATATGTAGCCCATGTGCTTAGTATTGCACCAGCAGTGTCAGTGGCCAGTGTGCATTTTTAAGTGTATGCACACATCTTAAAATCAGTGAAATGGGTCGAGTTTGTGTTTCACATACTGCCTAAGTAACGACTCTGTTAATATATTATGTTCCATAGACGTTGAAGGCACTTGTGCTTGGTGCTTGCGCTTTGCTCTTGCGCTGGGCAGGCTGTGGTAGTCAGACAGGTGATTTCGGTGTATTACTGTGGGTGTGCTGAAAGTCTCTATTCAGAGGCCTCCAACTATATTATAATTGGAGCCAGCTCAGGTTACAATTCAGGAAATTATTACTTCTCCTTAGATGCTAGGTGGAGCCTTAAATTATCATTGGAAATACTTCTCATTTAAGTGCCTTCACAATCCCAGGCATGAGGTGAAAACTTACAAAGTTACTTTAAGAGTGTTACGCAACAATCAGGGAATGTCATTGTGGCTTCAGACATGGCAGTTTCCAAGCCTGGAAAAGTTTTGAATTTGAGTATAATACGACATTAAGATGACCTAAAAATCACACTGCTTTAGAGACAGAAATACGTAATATAAGTGTTACGATTAATATGGCTTTGGAATCTAGGAGTCCCACTAAAAGTGGTGCTAACTTCATAGAATCATAGAATGGCCTAGGCTGGAAGGGACTTCAGAGATCATTTTAATCCACCCTCCCTGTCGCCAGGGACACCCATCAAATATTTGCAAGTAATTGCAGATAGGAATAGAGGTTGGAGGCTAAAATATGTTCTTTTAGCACTTGGTCTGTTTTATGGTTAGCTCAGTCGGTTGAGCGTGGCGCTAACGATGCCAAGATCGCAGGTTCGATTCCCGCTCGGTCCCCATGTGTGCCTGATCTAGTCGAGAGGTGGCTACAAATGTTTTGATTTGGTACCAACATATGGATGACTACAGAGATGACTGGTTTTGGTTTTCTTTCCTGCAGCGGATAAATCCCTCTGCAGAAATGGTTATGATTGATAGGATGTTTAACCAGGAAGAAAGGGCATCTCTCACCAGGGATAAGCGTCTTGCACTTGTGGATCCTGGTAAGTAATGGTTAACTTCAGAACCTTAACAAAAGCAGCATTTAAGTATGAATTAAAGTAAGCATTTAAGTATATTTAAAAGCAGTTGAGGCCATAGCGAGGCCCTGGTTGCTAGGGATTCCAGTAGTCGAAATATAGATATTTTAATAGCCACCAAATTCAGCAGTCTTCAGACGCTGTGAAGTTGAAGGCAGGGTTTTTTTGATGAAAAAGCCCATTAGGCTTGTTGGCAGAGAAATATTTCAGAGTTTCTTTTGATGACAGTCATGACTCCTGTGTGGTCTCAGTTCTAGTACGAAAGAATTTTGTGAGTTTGCTGGCAGTAAGAAAGAATGCTACCATATGAAGCATGAATATTGTGGTTCATTTTATGATATGTTGCTTTTGGAATGTCATGGCCACATAAATGGCAGCGTTTTTAATCAGACTTGTTGAAGATAACAACTAGAAACACATTTGTGCAAGATAACCAGCTACTATTTGTTTAAATGTTCTGTGTATTTTAAAAGACATTGAGAGGATCTATCGAAGAAGGTAATAGTCTTCCGTGTACCACGTTTGCATATTTATAGTGCTGGGAAGTGCCCTTGGTTTAGTTTTGCAGTGCACGTGTGTGTAGTGTGCTGGATAATTTGGTGATAATGTCCTGCACTGGATGCAGCAGAACACTTAAGCATGCACACGTCTCTTAAAATCATGAATCTGTACACTGTGGCTGTTCTTGGAATTTTAATATCAGAAACCACGTTAGAGTGTCTTATTATTTCGATGTATAGGTAATGTAAATAAAATGTTCCTATTTAATTTTCAGATGGTTATCAGGATGATTTTTGCTGTTCTGCCAAACAATTTGATAAAACAGCTGAAGAAGCACAGTCCAGTAAAAGTGACCACCAGTCTAGCAAAACATTACCTTCTCGAAGTCAGACTACCAAAACTCAAGCCAGAGACCGACCAAAATCCAGCTCAGCAGAGTCTGCAAATCACAGTAAACTTCCTCTAGTGCCTAACAACGTTCTGACACCACACGAAGGAATTGCTTCTACTAAAAAGTCGGAGAGCCTCACTAAAGCTTTAAAGTTTGAAAAAGCTAATTGTTCTTCGGAGAGCCAGTATGTGGCCCTTTCTGAAGAAAAGCTGGCTGGGAAAGAGCTTGCAAGGTCCACTGAGAATTCTTCGAATTCTGAAGACTTGTCAAAAACTGTGTCAAGAAGCAGTCATGGAACACACAATAAAATATCAAGGAACACAGTTCAGTCTTTCTCAAAGGTAACATGTAATAATTCCCTCCAAGAGAAAACTCTGAGGAGCTCTCCAAAGAATGAGGTTTTACATCCCGATAGCAGGAAAGGCTCTGGTGAACCCCAGCAAGACTTACTGCTCAGTAAGAGTTTAGAAACTACGTTTAAAAACATCTTGGAACTTAAAAAAGCTGGGAGACAGCCACAGAATGAGGCGGCGAGTAGTGGCTCGGTCGAATTAGAATTTCCTAATTTTTCGCCTATTGCTTCACAGGAGAACTGCCTGGAAAAATTTATTCCAGACCACAGTGAAGGTGTTGTAGAAACTGACTCTATTTTAGAAGCAGCTGTAAATAGTATCTTAGAGTGTTAATAGTGACATTACTATGGACAAGTTATGTTTCTCTTAGCAGAAGCAAATGTGAATGACACCACAAGTACAGCCTGACATGCATTTAAGGTTAACCTTTCTAAACTAGATTCTGTTCTGTGTTTGAGAGCAATACTCATTGTGGTTACAGTGAGATATCCAAGTAAAGTTACTCCTTGTTAGAATGCAGTCTGTTAGGGCCTTACTGTTTCAAGTATTACTCTGATAGTGCTTTTGATAATTGTGCCGTACTGCAGCGTAACAAGGTTGCAGGTCGTTAGGCCCTATGTAATACGGTAATATACTGACAATCACAGTCATTTGAAAGGATATATTTATTAAGAAAATGTTTTTAAAAAGTGATGGAAGCAACAATTGTCCCCTTCCCTTCTCCTCCACACATCATCAACTTTTTAGTTTTTCTGGAAAACCCACTGTACCTCTATTCAGAAGTAATTATTTGCTTTATTAATGAATCTGTGTTCTAGGATTCTTAAATTGGAAGGATATCATCAGTGTGTTTACAAGGCTTCATAATTTAAAGTGCTTTTCTGTTGCTTTCTGAGCAGAAACTAGTACTGGATGATGTAATTGTAGGGGGTAACTTTAGTCTGTGGGATGATACTATATGATCTTAGTCACAGTGGCATGATATGAAGTAATAAATGCTTGACTAAGGAAGGTAGAATGGAAGCCAGTAAATGGCAAAGTGTACAGGATGAGGCCATGCTAGAGCCATGAATTTATATATATAATACATATATATGTTAACTCTTGAGGAAAAGATTTTGCATTTTATAATTGGATGTAGTCAGCCTTGAGTCTTTCTGAAGTGGTATAAATGTTTTTGGTTTTTTTTTATTTGTTTGGGGTTTTTGTGTTTGTTTTTTTTTTTTTAGACCAAGTGTCAAAAGCACTTTTATTTGAAAACTGTTACGGTATTTGAAGCTCATATTTTAAGAAGACATTAGCCTTACTCTGATGAAATTTAAAGGCCAGTGTTTATTTTTTATTTTTTTTGCTTTTTGCTGTCAGAGAATGTTAAATCATCCACCGTAGCAGTCATAATAATCAAGATATGTACAGACCAAAGTCGATCAGCAGTCCCGTTGTTTAAACATATCGAAAAGTGTGTAATTATTAATTCATATTATAGAGCCAAGTGAAACCATCGCATGGTTTGTATTTGGCTTGCTGTCATGTTGTTAAGATAGAATCTTATTATTTTATTTATTTATTTTAATCTATGACATCTCTTTTATTTTCCTTTTTTTTTTTTTTGCTGCCCATGCTGCTTTTTACTAGTTTATTTTGGTCATGAGTGCTTTTGTGCACATAAGTGCGCTGACATTCGTCATGTGCATGTAGTACATATGTCTGCTCAGGAGGATATAGCTGTTGTGGTTTCTAAGGTATGCTCATGTTCCCCCCAGACCTTCTCCACAGTTTATTAGAAAAAATTACCAGCCTTTTTCCCAGCCTTTTTCCAGACAATTTTCATGATACAGAGGCTCATTTTGAAAAGCTGTGGTTGTCAGTCAGATTGCCAGGAAAGAAAACAAAAGATTTTGCTGTCATGTGATTCAGTCCATCTGAACAGCACAAAAGAAAGCAGAATTAGATCCTTTTGGCAGTAGAACGCTACAGTGCAACTCAGTATTGAGCTACAGTCCGCTGTCTGACCCCGAAAGGAAACCAAATCTAGAAGGCAACGTGAGAAAGATGAATTTACTTCAGGTTCGTTTCCCCTTCGATGTTAATGGAAGTGCTGGTATTGTATGCTACGAATTGCCATTTAAAAATATTGTGCCAATTTTAAAGTACATGTTTGTAAAAACCCAACATTCCCAAGTGTTGTATAAAATATTCAAGGTAATAATAAGTATTGCCAGTTTAAATTTTTAGCTAGGTGTCCATAGAATAGGCTCTCAGGCAGTTAGTTGTTTTCTTATTGGCAAACCTGACTATCAATATAGTCTTCACCTATTGCCTTTTTAGATTTAATAAGCTCATCGCTGTATATCCTGATGGTTATTTTATCATTTTGGAAACTTAACTGTTTTAAACTATCTAGGGAGGAAAACAGTAAGTTACACAGCTGTGTGTTCACTGGCTTTTCTTTTATAGGGAAAAAAAAAGAGAGTTGCACATTCATTGATCCACTTGCTTTTTTGTACCACCTCAAAGTGGGCGAGGGGGTGTCCAGCCTCTCTACAGCAAGTACATAATTGAAGTATCAGGCTATGTGTCTTCTATGGGATGTCATTTGGGGATGGGGGACAATAACATGTAAAAACCGATGAATTATAAAAAGTAATCGTGGTTCGTTTGGTCAGACACATTTCTCTGAACTATTTCCAAGAGGAAGCCGTGGAACAATCCTAGCAAGCTTAATCTTAGATTGTTTGTGTTCTGTTGTTTGCTCCTTTGAATTCAATTCTAAAGGAATTCTGGTACGTGGTGAAGCAGTAAATGAAAAAACTGTATTTTTGTTGTGCTTAAAAAAGTATGAATTTATTAATCATATGAGCTCAAGTCCAGCAAAGTATTGTGAATGTGCATGACTTCAAACATGTTTTCATTATTTTGCTGGATCAGCGTTGTGATTTCAATGTTATTTAATACTGCCTAATATTAACACAAATTTTAAACTGGCAATTAAGAAAAACTATGTTCATTTTGAAGATATTAGTATAATTTATCTGTTAGATTAGGGAGGCCTTACAGACTGACTTCACTTAAAGAGGATGTGTCACTTACTGTCAGTGTGGTATGGACTTTATTTGCTTAAATACCTTCATTTGTAAAGTATGTCTCACTTGAAATTGCTTTGTATACATTTTGTAAAAATATTTATAAAATGTTTTGTAAAAAAAAAAGTATAACAAATTGCAGTTTATTTTGTTATGTTGGATAAATACTGTTAAAAGACACAAGTCAGTAAATATATTGTTAATCCATGGATAGGAAATGTTTAGTTGGAGAATACAAATTGAAACAACCATTGCAATACAGCCAAAGATTTGGGAAAAAAAACGTCTACCTGTGATTGTCTTGATTTAACCAAGCTGAATGTTTACATTTCCAGAACAGATTTACTCTCAATTTTAAGTAATACGGTGGCAAAATACTCTTACTCCTGTGCTTCATATAACACAGCCCAGCCCTGTTACAAAGTATTTAGTGGGCCACCTTTCTGTACTCTTTATGGATCTTCCTGAACATACACAATTAGGATTTGGTTGCTGTGGCGCTACAACTAACGGGCAGTTCTAGTGCTGATCTCCAGATAACAAGTTTGCCAGTGGTCCTGCTCTGCTCGCCTTTAGAAATCCTGCCATGGTGAGGTTGCTGAGACACCTTCCCCTTCTCCAGCCTGTTTTCAACTAGGTAGAGGCATCATCTTCCCTGATACCTTGTGGAGACAAAGGAAAAGCGAGGGTTCTTCTTGTTAGCTGGTCACCTCCTGCATGCTATGGATTTCGGAGCTGTGGAGGTTGTATTTGGTTCTAGATACTAAATCTGTTTTTACAAATGTATTTGCAGTATTTCCCATTCCTTCCTTTTGGCTGGGGGAAGATACTACAGTTCCTACTTTTAGAGAAGCGATGATCCTTTTCTTCCTGTGATTGAATTTTTCAGAAGGTGTGCCCAGATTCTGGCCTAGTAAAGCTCTTATGCTTGGAATTTCAACACTTTATTTTTGGACGTTCTGAGAATGAAGGATTGGTGAAATGCACTGCCTGTCAACTTGGAGTAGGGCCTGCAGTATTGAAAGGTAGAAGTCTTTATGGTTAGTATTATTTTGTCAATGAGACAAAATAAGAACAACTTTTGAATGCTTCCCTAGTGGATTTAGACAATAACAGAATTAATAAATTGAGCTGTATATTATTTTAAGCTCTGTTTGTGTTAGGATGGCTAAGCATCTTGGATTTATCTTTTTTTTTTTTTTTTCTTTTTTCTTTTTATCACATTCCTGTAGCAGTGCCAGGCAAACTTTCTGGATTGGGAAGCATTTGATGTACAGTTTCCTGTACATCAGGAATATCTTTCTGTTACAAGGACATGGTGTATTTTTTAATTGTCTTTCAATAGCATGTTTATGGTGGGGTTTGTTATGTTTATTCCAATATTCAGGGCAAAAATTCTGAAGATTTGGGCATGCATGTTAATGCATGGCTTATATAAGAAAGTCAGAACACCTTTCATACAAACGAAAAAAAAGTTGCCAGAATAAGCTTGGCACAAGGAAAGGTAGGTAAGTAATTTTTAAACCTTAGAGAAATTCCTCTCTTCTTCAGGAAGTGATGTCTTTATAAGCCTTTAATATTTTCCTTTAGAATTGTACACATTTTTCTTGGAATTTTCACAATTATGTGTTTGTCAAACAGCTTCAAGAAATGCGAGAAATTGTCTTCATAACTTGGGAGTCAGCTGTCACTTTGGTTAAATGAAGTCATCGCAGAATATAAGTTCTGGTGAAGATCTGAAGAGCAGCAGCTCTGGTGCACACATATAATACACTGTGACTTATTTCGTATTACTGTAATGGTGGGTATACTGAATTACTTGTTTACAGATTGGTATTTGTCTTTCTGCTCTACTAGTCTTACAAGTAATCATTGTACTTGAAATTGGAAAAAATATATCCATAATGAGGAGTTGGAATAGGTAAACAGGAAACAAGATTCAGCAAGCTTGTACTGGGAGAGAAAAAAGCCAAAATGACGCAAAGTGTCCAGCGGAACCAGTATTTTTGGTGTAAAAGCAAAAACCTTGTGTGCTGAGTATAAAACCCTGCTTGCTTGCTTTCTAGACTTGACATCTTACAGTTTTGTGTGGGAAAATGTTTTACAGATGGAGGGACAAGCTAGATCAGAATTTAAGGCTCTTCTGTTGTGCACTTTTTGATTGGCCTCGTATGCTAGCTTTTGTTTAGGTGGGTGCCATTGTTTCTTCAGATTATTAACCTTTTGGAATGTAGTGCTCAGTCTCCATTG